TTATTAAGAATGCATGCGGGTAGAGTGGAAATGTAGCACTATTTTTCTCTGAGTCAGAAATTTCAACATTTGACTGACAAATTCAAATTTGCTCTCATTGAAAAAAGAAGGTAGCACTATTTTTCTCTGAGTCGGAAATTTCAACATTGACTGACAAATTCAAATTTGCTCTCATTGAAAAATTTCAGTGAGGACACCCAGCTATGGAAGTTATCAACAAAAGTTTTGATAACCTCAAATTAGCAGGAAAATGAAAAGTGAGGGTCATGGATAGGAGAAATGTTTTGATTCAGTGAACCGTGCCTGAAGACTACACTCGTATTTTCACCAAAAAAAATCTTAATATTGCTGGTAAAACAATGAAGCTACTCAAGTGCTCTCTGATTTTGACCTCAATCATGAATCTCCTACTGTACCGGTATGGTTTAATCTACCTGGTCTCAAGCTGCATTTGTTTCATCATCAGGTTTTATACTCTATTGATGTCATACTTGGGAACCTCATATTAGCAGGAAAATAAAAAGTGAGGGTCATGGATAGGAGACATGTTTTGATTCAGTGAACCGTGCCTGAAGACTACACTCGTATTTTCATCAAAAAAAAATCTTAATATTGCTGGTAAAACAATGAAGCTACTCAAGTGCTCTCTGATTTTGACCTCAATCATGAATCTCCTACTGTACCGGTATGGTTTAATCTACCTGGTCTCAAGCTGCATTTGTTTCATCATCAGGTTTTATACTCTATTGATGTCATACTTGGGGACCCTATGAAGCTAGATCTACCCACTTTCAACCTTACCAGACTTTCTGTGGCCAGAATACAAGTAGAAAGAGATATTACTTTGTCTGATGTTACTGAAGTCTGCTTGGGCACAATGCATAATGGATATTAGCAACAAATCGTCATAGAACATAAACATTTTTATTGTTCTTATTGTAAGATGTTTGGGCATACTCTTAATAAATGTCATAAGTTTTAACCTAATTTGAAATCTAAATATCAAGTAAATAAGAACAGTTTTAAGTTTTTTTTTTTTCCACCTGGAGAGAAAACTATCACAGGAAAGGATTTGGTGTCTGATTCTATTTCCCTCCCCCTGAAAATATTGATGGGAGGGCCCAAGCATGTCACTCTGTCCACACAAAAAATTACAAAAGGTTTCAAAACTAAAAAAAATAAAAAATACATTAGATATTAAAATAAAAAGCCTAACAGTGCCGAAATACATAATCAGGTGGCTAGAGAACAACCCAATTTGGTCTTGCCTCTGCCTCTAGTTTTAGGGAAGGAGTAAGCTAATAAGTCGGTAAGATGATTTTCATTGTCAGTAGTATCCAATGTATCAACCAATATGTTCCCGAGTTGGAGTCGGCCTCCATTCTTCTTCTTCCTCCTGAAATAGACATGTCATTCCTCATCCGAAGAATCAGTCTGATGGGGCGGTAGAGTTGAAGCAGAAGGAATACCAACCGTAGTACCCACAATACGTTTTAGTATATGTGAAGTTTGAGTTGCCTCTACACCGGATACTTCTTAAAAAAGTAGAGCTACGAGGTTCTCCAGACTATCAGTTTGAACACTATCATTTGTAGGTAATAGTCCATCAGTAATGTTTTCTATGGGGTTTGAAGGTGTCAGCATCACATCACTCGCAGTAACAATAACAGCAGTATCATGGGGGGTCCTAAAGGGCAACAGACACCTCCTGTCTTGTAGTATTCTCTCCAGATGGAACTAAATGTCTAGAGCCGTGGGGTTAGAACTATCCTTACTCACTGGAACCTTAGATTTCAAATTTGGATGAAACTTGTGGCATTTATCAAGAACATTACCAAACATCTTACAATGGGTACAATATGGGGGTCTGTACTCCGTGACGATTTGTTGTCACTCTAACTATTATAGGTTGTGCCCAGCCAGAGTTCAGTAACATCAGGTAAAGTAATATCTTTTTCCACAATTATTCTGGCCACCAAGGGTCTGATTAGGTTGAAAGTAGGTAGATCTAGCTTCAAAGGAACCTCAAGGATGGCCCTAAATCCCCAAGAGTGTCTCCAATAGAATAGAGAACCTGATGGTGAAAAAATATAGCTTGAGACCAAATAAACTAAATCATACTGGTACAGTGGAAGTCTCATGATTTGGGTCGAAATCATGAGACCACTTGAGTAGCTTCATAGGTTTACCAGCGATGTTAAGATATTTTCTGGAGAAAATCCGAGTATAGCCCTCGGGCACGGTTAAATAGCCCTTAGGCACGGTTAACTGAATCAATACATGTCTCTCATTCATGAGCCCCACTTTCCACTTTTCTGTTAGTTTGAGGTCATCAAAACTTTTTTTGATAATTCCCATAGGTGGATGTCCCCACTAAAATTTCTTAATAAGAACAAATTTGAATTTGTCAGTCAGCGTTGAAATTTCAGGAAATTTTAAAACGAGCGCAGCACGAAACAATTTCATTTAATTTGTAGAATAGCAAATCAGACTCGAAAAGGATATGTGAAATGTTTAAAACCCAGTGCGGGACCAAATTAACAATGCAAAATGCCCAGGTGGAACAAGTCCATCAACACACCTATTGGGAGTCTGACCCCACATGAAGATTAAAAAAAAGTCCTTAATGGCCTCCAGAACCTCTTTGTTCGAGGTGATCAAACAGATGGTCCTGAAGTGGGAAGAATTAACTTTGCTTTCCCAAGACAAAAAAGGGTAAAGCATGCCAACAGAAGAAGGATAATCTAGTTCATAAAGGACATGAACACATCGCCTATATATGAAGATAATATTTTCTTATTTAAATGGAGAGAGAAACTATTCCCTAGTGGAGTCGCCAGAAGTTGTCGGCACTATTTTGGGTGTGGAGTTGCCCGTTGGAAGTTATCGGCTGCCGGAATTAAAATCCCGTCACTCGCTTCAGAAGGATATTAAATTTACATATATGTACATATATATGTATATATATATACATATATATGTATATATATATACATATATATGTA